GGAGGAGGAGGAGGAGGAGGAGGAGGAGGAGGAGGAGGAGGAGGAGCATCGAACGTTGGCCACGCACGTGCCTGTCCACCACCCATGGATTTGCCTGTGCAGTCCACCACCCATGTGCGCCACCGCGTGTAGCGGGTGCTGCACGCAGTCGCCCGCGTTCAGCTCTGTTTTTTTGTCCAGGCTATGTCTGCTTCGGACGCGCGTGTTTCATCACGCCTCTTGCACTTGCACGGCGCTGTGTCGTGTCTGTTGCAAGCCCGGTGGCGTCGTCTTGTCGCGCTGCTGCGCGCCGCCAAGCTGGCTGGTCTGGCAGCCTTACAGCTATTTCCCGCCTCTCTGGCTAATTCGCACCAAACTGCTGCTTGCGGTTCAACTCCTTGCGTCGAGCCTACGCTCCGCTGGTTGGTCGGCCGCTGCATTTTGGCTTTGCAGCGCTTCTTTTCTCCAGCCACCAATCTGCATGGCCGTGGCTGGATTCTTTCATCATAGCGCGTTCGAGCAGGTTCGTTCGCAGTTGGCATCTCCACCTGCCGACCGTACCTGAGGCTCCTCTGCGCTGCCAGCTGAAAACATGTGCACTGGGTGTAGGTGTGTCTCTTTCTCTCTCTCTCTCTCTATATATCGCTTTCTCTCTCTCTCTTGCTCTCTTTCACTGTATTTGCTTTCTCTCACTCATTTCTTGCTCTAGTTGTCCGTACCTCAATGTTCCAACTTTTCCGTCGACTCAGGACCAACAGATTTCTCGCGGTAGGCTTCCCTGCAGACGAGAAACTAGAGTGGCCGACTGGGGTGGGATGTCCGTGCCATTTCGGATTTTATGTTTGACATGCGTTATGCTTCCATGGATTTGCTTGAGCTTCGGTGCTCGCTCGAGTCTACGCCATGACAGGATGTCAAGGGAATTCACGCTCAGCTAACCCTATCTTTCGCCCCTCCTGTCCCCTCCTTCTCCACCTCCTCCTCCTCCTCCTCCTCCTCCTCCTCCTCCGCCTTCTCCTCCTCCTCCTCCTCCTCCCTCCTCCTCCTCCCTCCTCCTCCTCCTCCTTCCTCCTCCTCCTCCTCCTCTCCTGCTCCTCCTCCTCCTCCTCCTCCTCCTCCTCCTCCTCCTACTCCTCCCCCTCCTCCTCCTTGTCCCCCTCCTACTCCTCCTCCTCCTCCTTCTCCTTGTCCTCCTCCTCCTCGCGCTGGTTCAAGCTCGTCCCCAAGTGGGGTCGCGAGCTAGCGCCAGGCGGCCGCGCGGCCGCTGCCCCTCCACCCCCCCGGCAGCCCCGCGGCCATCGTGCTCCTCCCTCTCCAGCTGCCATGGTTCCATGGCTTGTCGCTGGCCGTCTTCCGCAGCCTTGTCGCACCGCCGCCGAGAGCCGCACCCAGGCTTCTAGGGTGGAGGTGCGGGCGGTGCAGGCCCTTCTGCGTGCGGTTGGCAACCTCGGCCACCGGGGCTGTATGCCAACGCGCTTTGGCGCGGCCCTCCAGGCCGCGCTCCGGGATCAAGTGCACGCTGTTCATGATGGTCCCGAGGCGCGCGGAGGAGCTCGAAAAAGGTCATCCAGCTGGAGGAGATCGTGCATTTTTTGGTCATGCGGAGCCATCACTTGCTGAATCTCCTCCCGAATTATATGAGGCAGCTCAGCAGGATAATTCCCAAAGCCTTGATCCGCGTGAAGGGGCTGATGTCCCTCCCGCTGCCCTTGGGAACTTTCCTACCGCTCGCCACGATGAAAATCGTGGTGCTTCTGACGTGCCTCCTGCTGCTGAGCAGTGTGCCTTTCTCCATAGTCTTGCTGCCGGCAAGGATCAGGGAAAGGGCCGTGTCGCGGCACCAGGAAGCAGCAGGGACAAGAGGAACCGCTAGGACGAGGACAATCAAACATCTGCTGAGGATCCACGGCGTGCCCGTCGCGAGCGCGAATGGGGCTGCATGCCGCTTTCGCCGTGCGACTGTGGGCCCTGATCCACGGGCAGCTGGCGCCGACCCGTGGTATCTGGCTTCTCGTCACCTGAAGGGCAAGGGCAAATTCAAGTGCAAGGGCGCTCGAATATCCACGGATAAGCTGAGCGCCGGGCTCGGCTGCCAGGCGGTAGGGCCTGCTTGCGTCCGTGATCGTGCGGCTGCCGTTGCCGTCGTCGTCGTCGTCGTCGTCGTCGTCGTCGTCGTCGTCGTCGTCGTCGTCGTCGTTGAGGGGAGCGGGAGGCCGAGGCTGCTGCGCGGAGGGCGCGCAAGGCCGAAGGCGAGGGCGGCCGTGCCCAGCAGGGCTGCCAGGAGGGCGGGCGGCGCCGAGGCGCCGAGGAGCTGAGCTGCTCGCGCGCGCCCACTGCACGCGCGTGGCTCAGCCTCGTGGGACCGCGGTGGGCGGCCCGCGAGGCACCGTCAAAGAACGTCAAAGAACGTCGTCGGCGTCGTCGTCGCCGTCTTTGAGTCGCTGCGCTCGTTTGTCCGTCGTCGTCATCCTCGCCGTCGTCTTTGGTCGTCGACGCCGACGTCTGTGGACGCCCTTCTTCTCTTCAGTCTGGACCTCGCGCCCTTTCGGGGTGCGCGCGTGGCTAACCGAGAATCCGAGAATCCTTTACATTCTCCTCCTCCTCCTCCTTCTCCTCCTTCTCATCCTTCTCCTCCTTCTCCTCCTCCTCCTCCACCTCCTCCTATTCCGCCTCCTCCTCCTCCTCGTCGCTCGTTCGCTGAAGACCCTCGTGCCCAGAGACGCTCCTCCTTCTCTCGCTGCTGCTGCTGCTGCTCCTCCTCCCGGTCTCCGCCTCGTCATTCCCCTCCCTCTTCCCTCCTCTCGTCTCTCCTTCCGTTTCCCTCCCTTCCCCTCGCCTTCTTTCCTTAACCCCTTGCCTTCATCGCTCCCTCCGTGACCCTCTTCTTTGCACTCTCTTCCTCCTCCTCCTCGTCCTCGCTCCTCTTCCTCCTTCTCCTCCCCCTCTTTCTCGTCCTGCTCCTTGTCCTCCTCCTCCTCCTCGTCGTCCTTCTCCTCCTCCTCCTCCTCCTCGCCCCTCTTCGTTGTCCTCCTCCCCCTTCCGCACTCCTCCAACTGCTCCGCCCTGCCCTTCAGGTGTGTGCTTAATTTGGCACCGAAGGCCCCCGAGAGGCCGTCCGTCTGAGGCGAGGCCGCTCCTTGGCAACCGCGCAGTGGCCCGCCGACCCCCCCCCTCTTCACACTCACGGGCATGCGTGGCCTTTCCCCGTAGTGCAGAAGGGGTTCGTGCTCCCGAGGCCGCGATCCCTTGAACAAGAACTGCGGGTCTGCGGTCCCGAGGCCACATTTTGACGTCTTGGGCCGGTGCCCAGGGCTTTCAGGAAAACTCAAGAGGCTCCCAAGAGAGCCTTAGGCCAGTTCCTCGGAGCCATCAGATGAAGTATGAGCGCCCAGGAATTCCTCTCAGCGCCAACTGCACGGTGGCGGCTATCCAATCATCATTACAGCGGGATGTGTAAACGCACTCGGGATGCAAGTGTGCAGCTTGTGTATACGTCGACGTTTACGTGGATGCATATGTAGGGGTCTGCGCGCGTGTGTGTGTGTGTGTGTGTGTGTGTGTGTGTGTGTGCGTGTGTGTGTGTCATCCATGGACTGTGCTCGGTCCACAGGGTTGGGCTATCATTTTCTCTTCACCACCAGCTGCAGCCCTGGCTGCCCCCCACTTTCAGCTCAGTGCAGTTCAGTTCAGCCTGTGCCGGCGCTGCTCCCCCCCGCCGCAGCCGGCAGCTCTGAATGGCCCGGCTTCCTCTCTTCCCGTCGCGCTGGGGCTTTTTCTCCTCCTTCCGTGCATTGTGACCCTAATTTGCATACGACGTGTCCCTTGTTGCCTCTCCGCCGAAGCAGTCGCCCTCTGCCCAGCCGCCGACGCAAAATGTGTGTGTGTGTGTGTGTGTGTGTTTGTGTTTGTGTATGTGTGTGTGTGTGTGTGTGCGTGCGTGCGTGCGTGCGTGCGTGCGTGCGTGCGTGCGTTCGCGTGCGTGCGTGCGTGCGTGCGAGCGCGCGCGTGTGTGTGTGTGTGTGTGTGTGTGTGTGTGTGTGTGTATTTGCGTGTGTGTGTGTGTGTGTGTGTGTGTGTGTGTGTGTGTGTGCCTGCGTGCGTGCGTGCGTGCGTGCGTGCGTGTGTGTGTGTGTGTGTGTGCATGTTTGTTTGTTCTGGCAGACGGATGTGTGTGGTCCACGGGCCTAGCTCATGCAGATTAATCAGTATGAGTTGATGTGTTTGTGTGATTTAGACGTGAGAGTACCGTATGTGATCATATCTGGGGGCAACATTGGCAACGCCATGTGCTTTTACTGTTGTGTGTTGACACACGTCTGTCTGGCAGTGGCCCGTGAAAAGCTCAGGCGCACGATATTCCGTTCAACGTCCGATTATTTTACGGCGCTGAACCGCTTGTGCCTGGCTCGCACTTCGCGCACAAGGATCCGAGTCCCTGCGAGGACGCGATGCGCTTGTTCTCAGGGGTCTCAAAAGTGGGAAGAGGTAGAGGAGGGGGAGGAGGCTTGAGGCCTCCGAAGTCCGAAGGCAGAGACCACCAGATCGGAGGTGCCAGGGTCTCTCCGATGGCTGCCTTTGGAAGCGTGATGATGTTACGTATTGATTTTGCTACGGACCGCTACACGGTTTCTGTTGCACGTCCCCAGCTCAAACGGGGCAAACCGCTTTTTTATTTGTTTGATGCGATTCCACCTCCGAGGTCCCAGGACGTCCCCAGAGGCCCCCTTGGGTTTCTGGATCCCTCTGGAGGCCCGGTCGTGCCGACAGTGCACAAAACCTGCATCTTCGACTCGAGGGCGAACCTCTTCCGCCTCCAACGTGGAGGTCGGGACCTCCAATCGGCTCCTGTGTACCAGGTGCGATTGCCCGCGCCGGTCAGGACAATTGTTCATCTTTGTTTCCGTGAGGGAACTCACAAAGTGGATGAGCTGGGTAAGACAGCGCGGCCTTTGTGAGGGCGCGCATGCCCGACGTTTTGCTTCTGCAAAACGGTGGCGCCCCACGTCTGCAGTCTGCAGGTTTGTGTGCAGAATGTTCGGATGATGGGCGATGCTGAGCCCTGCGTCCATCTAGATTTGCGGTATCTGACCAAAGTTGACATGGGGCCATGGCCCGAGAGCATACCTTTTCCCGAGTCGGGGGGGAGTTCGAAGGCCAGCCTGACCAGGATCTCGGCCCTGGAGGGGCGCCAGGAGACCTCCAGGACCCTGGGGTTCCGTTTGCTGTTAGTGAGCGCTCGGTCCTCGAAGCTGCGGTCCTCGACGACCGCTCTCCTCTCCTGCTCTGCTCCTCCTGTTGGCAGTATGCGGTGGCGCCTGGCCAGAGAGGGGTTAAGGAGGGCTGTCTTGGGTTCCGCCACCTGCCTGGAGGGAAGGCCTTCGCGGCCAGGAACAGGCTTTCGGCCTCCATGCGCCCCACTCGCCCTGACCTCTTGCGGGGCGAGGGGGAGGCCCCGACGGAACCCGCTCGCACCACGCGGGCGCCGCACTTCGGTGCGGCTCCGAGTGAGATCCCTCCGTTTTTGATTCGAGCAGGGCCATCTCCTCGAGATTGGGCTGGCTGTTGTTCTGCGGGCCTGCGGCCACTGTGCCCAGGCGGAGGCCCGAGGAGGAGGAGGTGGAGGAGGAAGAGGAGGAGGAGGAGGAGGAGATGGAGGAGGAGGAGGAGGAGGAGGTGGAGGAGCAGGAGGAGGAGGATGAGGAAGAGGAGGAGGAGGAGGAGGAGGAAGAGGAGGAGGAGGAGCAGGAGGAGGAGGAGGAGGAGGAGTAGGAGTAGGAGTTGGAAGAGGAGGATTCATGCAAGGATCCCCGATCCATGTCTGCGCAACATCAAGGAGGGAGGAGGAGTGAGGAGGAGGAGGAGGAGGAGGAGAAGGAGAAGGAGGAAGAGCAGCGGAGGAGGAGGAGGCCGAGGAGGAGGAGAGGACGAGGGCGAGGAGAGGAATTAACGATGATGATGACGATGATGCTGATTACGATGATGATGATGATGATGATGATGATGATGATGATGATGATGATGATGATGATGATGCTGATGATGATGAATCTGATGATGATTATGATGATGATTATGATGATGATATGATTTGATGTGATATGATATGGTATGTTATGATATGATGATGATGACGATGCCGATGATGATGCTGATGATGATGCTGCTGATGATGATGGTGGTGATGATGATGCTGATGATGATGATGACGATGCTGATGATGATGCTGGTGATGCTGATGATGCTGCTGATGATGATGATGACGATGATGATGATGATGATGATGATGATGATGATGCTGATGCTGATGATGATGATGATGATGATGATGCTGCTGATGATGCTGATGCTGATACTGATGATGCTGATGCTGATGATGAGGATGATGATGATGATGCTGATGATGATGATGATGATGATGATGATGATGATGATGATGATGATGATGGTGGTGGTGGTGGTGGTGGTGGTGGTGATGGTGGTGGTGATGATGATGATGATGATGATGATGCTGATGATGGTGGTGGTGGTGGTGGGATGATGATGATGATGATGATGATGAGGAGCAGGAGGCGGAGGAGGAGGCGGAGGAGGAAGCAGGCCCTTGGCCAGAGGGCCGAGGCCCGAGCAGCCTGAGCTCGGAGATGCTGGCGTCGACCGAGCTCTCTTTCCTGATCGGTTTTCGGGGGGCGCCCTGCCGCAGACCCGGGGGCACCCCCCCGCTGCTCTTCCGATCGCCCTGCTCCATGTTTCTCCCCCTTTCACTCCCCCCATTGACCCTTTCCCCCTATACCTGGGCAGTCAACCTCCTCCTTCTCCTCCTCGTCCTCCTCCTCCTCCTCCTCACTCCTCCTCCCTCCTCCTCCTCCTCCTCCTCCCTCCTCCTCCTCCTCCTCCTCCTCCTCCTCCTCCTCCTCCCTCCTCCTCCGCCTCCTTCTCCTCCGCCTGAGGCAGTGTGGCACTGACGGGAATGTAGTCTTCAGGCGCTGTCGCTAATCTCCTCCTCCTTCTCCTCCTCCTCCTCCTCCTGTTTCGTCTTTCCTGATGGCATGAGAGGCTCCGCCCCTCCTCCTCCCTCCTCCTCCCCCTCTTCCTCCTCTTCCTCCTCCGCCCTGCTCCCTCCTCCTCCCTCCTCGGCCTTGCCCTCCTGCGCCTCCTCTTTGGGGGGTGGGAATTGTGGGGAAGGCTTTTTGCCGCCTTTCGTCGAAGTCGGTCGCTGGGGCGCCTTGCGCCGTTGAAGCTGCAGACAGGTCTCGCAGAGAGGAGCGACCCCTGGAAACGTTCCAGGGGCCTCGTAGGCTTCCGGGAAAGCCTCGTTCAGAGTTGGAGGCGTTGCGAAAACGCGTGGCGGTAGTTCTCTTCCAGAGTTTGGCCAGTTGGATGCTCGTTGTGGGTCCTGGGGCCGCGAGAAGGAGCGGTCGGGGAATCTAAGCCCGTCCCAGGACGTGGGTCGAGAGAGAGAGCTGGGCGGCCCACGCGCCGCGAGAAAACCATGACGTCGGAGGACTGTTTTTTTCATCGTTTGCATTTTCGGTTGTGCTTCTGGATTTGCGATGGTCAGTATCGCTTAAACGACCCCCATTCCCCCCCATCCTCATCCCCTTCGAGACCCCCACCAAATTACCACCCCAGTTGGGGAGACGCCCCCTCAAATCCCGAAGGGAACGGCGTACATCCCCATCTAGGGGGGCACATCGGCCAGTGGGGCCCAGGCCACGCCGCTGGGGATGGGGATCGGTTAAACGATGCTCAGATGGGTTCAGATGGTTTGGGACCTCTTCGGTCGCCCTCCCGCCGTTCGACTGTCTCTGCCTCTCCTCCTTCCATGTGATCCCGTCCCACCATCTCCCGAGAGGGATTCAGCTTGTCTGTCTTCGTGCCGATGCGGGCCATTGTGGCCCTGCTGGCTCAGAAGACCTCGGGAAGACTCTGGGAAGGACGATCCGTTTTTTTTTTTTTTTTGATTTCAGAGGCCCCTCGTAGAAATGCGCTCAGGGATGGCGTGTACGGATAAGACTGCAGTGCATGCAGCCTTCGCGCTACGGTTATTTGATCTGCCCCAAGGTTCAAGAAGTACCAGAGAATATACGGCTCGCGCTCGATGTTCACACGTCTCATGAGGCTCTTTTGGGTGCCCTGGACTCTGTGGAGAACGTGCTACAAGGAAATCTCGCTAGCAAAGGTAGCCGAGCTCTCCAAGAACTTTGATACAACGCCCCTCCACTACAGCCCCACCAACGCCACAGCGTTTGCCACTGAGGCAGCGGACTTCATTCCCCGTCTGGCTTCGAACCGTGGCTTGGGGAATTCGAACCTCCATTACAAGAAGATTCCCCAGCTCTTGGAAGGCATAGATATGGCGAAGAAGATCGGCATTCAAGATATGGTCATCGGCACCCACACGTACTGGTGGTTCGGCATATCTGGAGGGGACTTCCACCCTGACGCCCAGGACAATTTCCTTATCCAGCTCACCGAAAAAATAGAGGCAATCATCATTCCTCCGAATTGTTCCAGCCTGGTTTTTATGAACCACTTCAACAAGCACCCAGAGCTCAGAGGCGCGCCGGAGTTCTACATGGAGCAGAAGCAGGTGCCCTTTTATCACGTGACCCTGCAACCAGGGTATGGTGTCCTGATTCCAAGCCGTGCGGCACATAGAATCATCTCCGGTTCGAGCCAGCGCGTCGGGCTGAACTTCTTCTTCGAGCCGAAGTTCGGAGAGATGGTGTGGGGCGGCTCGCCGCACAACTTCTACAACATGCAGAACCCCAACGTCGCCGTGCTGCGGGAGCTGTGGATGAGGGCGCTTTCGAGGATGTTCGACGACACTGGAAGGGTGACCACTGGTGGCAGAAGTTCAGGAGGGGAACATGCACACAGACACAATCAAATGTTTACTTCCGAGAAAATCTGGAAAATATTGGAAGCGGGGGGGGGGAAGACTCAAGAGAACATAGGAAAATATGGGTACTCCTGGGATGCGTGTGTACCTATGTGTGTGTGTGTGTGTGTGTGTGTGTTCCTGGGCCCCTTCGTGAGTGTCCCTGCTTGTGCCGACCGTCCCCTCCTGCTGACCCGCAGGGCCATCCGCCCGAGGGCACTCCGCCCGCACAGGTGGAGGGCGGCAGCCCAGGCCTCTCCGACGCGCCCCGATGTTTTTGTTCCAACGCGTATAGGGCCCTGGAGCTGTCGATCGGCGCGGGCCATCGCACCCCCTCCCCCCCCCACGGAGTAGAGCTTGGCTGTTTTGGGCGCCTGTTTCGAGCAGTTGGAGCCTCCTCCACAGGACGCGCTGAGGTCCAGAGCCAGACCCCCCCCCCTTTCCCTCCTTCCGCCCAATGTCGAAACGCCGGATAAGAAAACGTAGACTTGCAGTGCGGTTCTCTGTCGTGGCGCTCTGGATGTTTGGCGAGGGTGTGTCTGGTCGCGAGGATGGGGCCGCCACGGAGAAGAGGTCGCGGGCCGCGCCCCAGGTGATGGCCATGCACACGTCGAAGCTAGAGTACTTGTGAGGCTGGCCGAGGGTCTGAGGCCCCAAAAGAAGCACCACCGCCAGAGGAGGAGACGGAACCGATATTGCTACGCTTCCTTAGTTTTCGCCATTCCGGGCCTCTTGGCAGGCCCTCGTCGCCACGGCTGGATTCGCTTCGAAACCCTCGTCAGACCGCACCCCAGAAGAGGTTCATGGAGTAGCCGTATCGGATTCCCCCCCCAACGCCAGCGCTTCTCTCCACCTGTGCTCACAGACGGGAGGTGAGGAAGAGGAGGGTGGAGGGACCTTCGACCTTCGGCTCCAGCGCCTTCTGCGCGGCAGAAGGGATCAAGTCGTTGCGTGGTATCCGACCCCGTTCCTAACCTCTGGGTCGGTTTTGGAGGTCGCCGCGGCAATCGCGGTGGCCACAAATCGGGGCAAGGTTTTTGTTCAGGAGTGGCATGCCCCTTTCCAGCCCCCCCTCCGCTTTGCAATGTAGACGTGGCTCTTAGGTGACAGTATGGCGACAGAGAGCTGCCCACCGAAGTCCAGTCATGTTTTTTTTGGGTCGGTGACCAATTTTCATACGATCACCTCCTGCTCGGCAAGAGGGGGCAAGCCGGAGGTTGAGCTCGGTATCGTTTAACCGATCCCTATCCCCATCCCCATCTAGACCCCCACCATCTCAGCACCCTTGGGATACGCCCCTTGAAACCCCGAGGAAGCCGCCTGTATCTCCACGTAGGGGGGTACATCGGCCAGTCGGGCCCAGGCCATGCCCATGGGGATGGGGATGGGGGTCGGTTGACCGATGCTCACGAGCGGGAGGGGGAGCTGCTGGTGGTGCGACCTTTGGGGCCTGCAGTTGGGGCTCACCGCCACGGGCAGCGGGCATGGGGGGCCTCTCGTGCGGGGCCCGCGGTCCCCCGAGCGCCGTGGTGCGCGGGGCCGGGCGGCCAAACAGCGGACTGCTCTGCTTCCCCCCCCCGACCTCAGAAGAGTTCGGCAGCAAAACATGGGAGCCTCGTGTGGCCTTGCAGTTCCACCGTTAGGGTGCACCGGCGTGCGCTAGCGTCTGGTAGTCGAAGGGAGAGCGCCGATTTAGTGTCGATTCGCGATTTAGCGTCGGTTCGCGTCGATTCAGCGTCAATTAACGTCGACTCGTGTCGATTCGTGTCGATTCGCAAGTGCCAGCAAGATGGCGTTAGAGGGTCCCAGGAGTTGCCACCGAAGGCCTCTCGTGAGGGGCCTGCGGTTTCCGGAGCGCCGTGGTGCACAGGGCCAGGCGGTCAACAAGCGGAGTGCCCTGCCTTCCCTCCCAGACCTCCGAGGACCTAGGCCTTCCAGATGGGATCCGAGCAGACGGGATCAGAGGATCACGCCGCATCGCCGATGCATCGGCGGTGCGGCTCGATGCGGATCCCGATTTTCTCGACGCCGACGGTGCCAATGCATCGCCGACATCGCCGATGCATCGGCGATGCGGCGCGATCCTCCGACCCCTTCTACTCGGACTTCTTTTTGGAGGCCTCTAGATGAGGAGCAGGCGCCGATCGATACTCTCGGCTGCATTCGCCTCGAAGAGCTCATGGGAATGCACTCCGGGCCAGGTCCGTGGAGTAGCTGTATGGGTATCTTTCTGCTTCCCAATGCTTCCGTCTTCCTGAAAGAAAGCGACCTACGCTGCTTCACCATTTCGGCTGTTGTGTGTGTGGGGGGGTGGGTTGGCGCTCTGGAGTCCTCGGGGCCAACAGGCAACGGCCCGCCGCGCAGAGCTTCTCTTTTGGGGGACGGGTCGAGAGCTTCGAAGCCCACGTCGTGGAAAGATCACGGCGTTTGAGCTCTAGCTCCCACCTGCTTTGTTCCTGTGGGCACGAAGGAATTTCCCGAACCGCTGCAAGGCGGCGAGCGACTACGGGGGGGGGCGGACGATGGGTAACGAAGTGGGATTAATCATGGATAGGGTACGCGCGGCCTCCCAGGCATGAGGGCTCACATGCAAGTTTGATTGCATTTTGCGTGGAAGTCTTCGAGGTTTGTGAGGCCATCGATGGTATACCTATAGTAGTGGCAGTGGGACATCGGGCCATGAAGAGAAGCAGTATCCGACTGGATATCGCGCTACCCCTGGGGTGGGGCTCATCGTCTTTCGCTAAGTGACAAAGCCAGCGAACCAATCATCCAGCGTTGACGGAGGCCTAGTTTCATGAGGAAACGCAAGCCTGTTCATCCCAGCTTTGGCCGTTTACCGTGTTTGTCACACGCAAGTGCTCTCCTCCCCATCTCCTCTTTCCTCATACGCCTCCGCTTTCAGCACTTGTTCTAATGCATCATCTGGCGGGCTTCGGCCCCTCCTCCCTTGGCAGCCTCTTGGAGGCCTCTTGGGGGGCCTCTCGGGGGCCTCCGTGGGCCCCCTGCGGGCCTCCTGCGGGGGGCCGCTGCTGGCCTCGAGGGCCATCTTTGAGGAGTGGGCTCGACATGTTCGTTTGTGCTGCCCTCCAGGACAACCTTGGGAGCCTCTTGCGCCACTTCGGGACCTCGGAGGCCGCCTTGGGGCGGTCTTGGCGGGGCCCCTTGGGCCGTCTTGGACGAGTCATCTCAAGCCGCAGGAATTTCAACGACTTCGCCTGATCAGGTCGGTCCCCAGGGCCTCCGAGACTGCCAAGGAGGCCCCCCAGAGGGCTTGGTCCTGGCACCATCCTAGGCCATGTTGGCAGTGTTAGCACGGAGCTGCCTGGATGGCTGGGTCTCGCTGCTGGCGCAGATGCATGGGGCCGTCTGGAAGAGGCCTTCGCGAGGAGAATATAGTGCACTGAGGCACCGCGGTGCCTACCGCCCCAGCCCCGTGCCAGGCCGGTCTTTTCCCTGCCTACCCCTGACCACCCTCCGGAGGTCTCCAGAACTGGCATGCGAGAAGCCATGGCCGCGCCCGGCACTTCGGTTCCTGGGCCCGTACGGACCCGCAGGGATCTAAGGACTTTCCGTTCAGTGCCTACGGCACGGCACAGTGGCGAATCTGTCGAGAAACGTCCCCCCGAAATGTCAGAAGACACGCCCATCGCCACGCACACATGCTGGCGCACGACGGCAGGCGACCTCACATTTGAGATGTAAGAGTCTCAGCTGCCGCAATCACGGATCGTAGCTGCAGTGGCGAGGCAGGTCGCGGGACAGAGCGCGGGGCGATGGAAGCTGGAACCAGAACAGCAAGTCCCATGGCCAGAATCCGCACTGGGGACCCCACTTTGGCCGCGCCTTGCAGGGACAGCCACGTACCGTTCGGCCCAGACGCTCGGATGATACACGACTGTTTCCAGAAGCGCGACTCCGACGTGTCAGAGGATGTCACCGCCCACCAACCCACCCCAACCCAACCCAGAGGCCCCAATTTGCCCTCCATTCCCAGTGGGGGGAGGGGGGCGTCGGGGAACATTGAAAAACACACGTGGAACCCGTACCCCCCCCAACCCGAAATTTGGGTCTTCGTGTTGGGTTGGGGTGGTCTGGTAGGTAGTTCGGATGCATGCTCATCGCGCCGTGCGCATGCTGGCGCACACCTGCGGGCGGCCACATTGTATGCACACCAGCGTCCGTACCCGTCTCCAGCATCTCGCAGGGAGGCTGCGGGGTGTGGCGGGTTATGCGGAGGCCCTGGAGCTTTTCGGGGCCTTCAGGGGGGCTAGCGGGAGATCTGGACATCCACGCCTAGCGTCGGCATAAACGACACCGCTGGCGACTCAATCTTCTAGCCTCCATTTTTTCCCAACCATCCTGTGGTGTTGGGTCCTCGTTTTGAAGAGACGGTGCCCCGCGTTCCTCTCCTCCTCCTCCTCCTCCTCCTCCTCCTC